AAAAGAATCCCCCCAAAAAAACCCCAAGGATAGTGTAAGCAGCCTCTGTGACAACTTCAAGCATTACAATAGTCACATCATAGGGGTGCCAGAAGGGGAAGAAAAAGAGCAAGAAACTGGAAATCTATCTGAAAAAAATAGTGAAAGAAAACTTCCTTAATTTGGTGAAGGAAATAGACATGCAAGTTCAGGAAGCACAGAGAGTCCCAAACAAGATAGATGCAGAGACCTGCTCCAAGACATATCATAATTAAAGACATACCACACACAAGAATTAATTCAAAATGGATCAAAGACTTAAATGTTAGACATGAAATCATAAAAATCCTAGAAGAAAACATAGGCAGCAAAGTCTCAGACATTGCTTGTAGCAATATTTTATCCGATATATCTAGGCAAGGGAAACAAAAGAAAAAAATATTTATCCTAGGCAAGGGAAACAAAAGAAAAAAATAAACAAATGGGCCTATATCAAACTAAAAAGTTTTGCACAACAAAGGAAATCATCAATAAAATTAAAAGACAATCCATAGAATGGAAGAACATATTCGCCAATACATCTGATAAGGGGTTAATATCTAAAATTTATAAAGAACTTACAAAACTTAACACCAAAACAAACAAACAAACAACTCAATTTTTTAAAAAAAGGGGCAAAGGACCTGAAGAGACACTTCTCTAAAGAGGACATAGAGATGGCCAATAGACCTATGAGAAGATGCTCAATGTCACTAATCATCAGAGAAATACAAATTAAAACCACAATGAAATATCATCTCACACCTGTCAGAATGTCTATCATTAATAACTGAACAAACAACAAGTACTGGTGATGATGTGGATAAAAGGGAACCCTCATGTACTGTTGGTGGGAATGGAGATTGGTACAGTCACTATGGAAAGCAGTATGGAGATACATCAAAAAAGTAAAAATGGATCTGCCTTCAGATCCAGCAATCCCACTTCTGGGGATATATCAAAAAGAACCCAAAACACTACTTCAAAAGAACATAAGCACCCCATGTTCGTTGCAGCGTTATATACAATCGCCAAGATAAGGAAGCAGCCCAGGAGCCCATCAGGATGAGTAGATAAAACAACTATGGGACATTACCACAATGGAATACTATTCAGCCATAAAAAAGAAGAAAAGTTCACCCTTTGGGACAGCATGGGTGGAGCTGGAGAACATTACACTAAGTGCAATAAGCCAATCAGAGAAAGACAAATGTCACATGATTTCACTCATATATGGAATCTAATGCACAAACTGAACTAACAAGGAAAATGGGGACAGACTCATAGATGGAGAGCAGGATGACAGTTAGTAGGGGGAGAAGTTAGGGGGTGGAGGGATTGAACAAATAGGAAAAAGGACTCATGGACATGGACAACAGAGGGGTGATTGCTGGGGAGAGGGGATATAAGAGGACTAATTGTAATGGAAAAATATACAATAAAGCTTAAATCAAAATAAAATAAGAAAAGGATGCAAAGGTTAAAGATAAAGAGAAAATGTTAAATGCAGCAAGAGAAAAGCAGTTAATTTCCTACAGGGGAGTTCCCATAAGACTGTCAGCTGATTTCTCAAAAGAAACTTTGCTGGCTAGAAGGGACTGGCAAGAAATATTCAAAGTCATGAAAAACAGGAATCTACAACCAAGATTGTTCTACCCAGCAAAGATATCATCTAGAATCAAGGGGCAGAGAAAGAGCTTTCCAGACATGAAAAAACTAAAGGAGTTCATCATCACCAAACCGGTATTATATGAAATATTAAGGGGACTTATTTAAGAAAAAGAATATCAAAACTATAAACAATAATATGGCAATAAATACATAAAGTACAGTATGGGAAATGGAATAGCCAAAGGGCTTATGCACATGACCCATGGATATGAACAAAGGTGTGGGGACTGCCTGAGGGTATGGGGGTACCAGGTGGAGTGGGGAAAAGGGGAAAAATTGGGACAACTTTAATAGCATAATCAATAAAATATAATTAAAAATAAGATAAAAGCTGTAAATGGGGGAAAATCATAAATCTAAACAGATTCTATTCTGAGACAAATTTGCAGGTATCTAAGTTCTTGTCCCAATTTTTGAAAAATTAAAACTGGAAATCAAAGGATACATATTATGGGTGTGGTATATATACACAATACCGGAAAGATGAGTTAGGCCTTCAGTTATTGACCACATACCTAAAGAAAAGTTCTTAGCTCTTCATGAAAAGATTGCCAAAAGAATGCACATTTGATATTTTTGAGGTGAAATTCACTTAAGATACAATTAATCTTTTTAAATTGTGCAAATTCAGTGGCCTTTAGTGCATTCACAATGTTGTACCACCACCACCTCTCTCTAGTTTCAAAACTTCCTTATCGCCCCAGAACACCCTGTCCCCTTTAAGGCATCACTCCTCATTCTCCTGTCCTGGCAACTCCTCGTCCGCTTAAGTTGAGATAGAACATTTAAAGCATGTAGCTAATGTTTTTAATGATTCGTTACTTTACTGAATTGTTTGATTAATCTATTGGTCCAGCTCAAGTTAGGTGTGTTGTCCTTACAGCTCTGTACTATTTTTGCTGGTTTGGTTGCCTGTTCCCCACCCTCCAGGCACAGAGCACTTTGCAGAGGGAGCCGTGTTCAGTCCCTTTATTCATGCGTCTGCAGCACATGGCACAACGTCAGGCGCACTCTGTGCTCCATATTTGTGGGACATTACCAAGAAGTTAACTTGTTCAAGGGCATAGAGCATGTAAGTGGTGAGTCACAATTTAAGCCTAAGTCTTCCTCACAGCATAGTAAGCAGAAAGTGGGACCTGTTTGGAAGGTGAATTGATACAACAATCACACTAGAGCTGATACTAAGAAGGGCTTACAATGTGCCAGGTGCTGTTCGAAGTCCTTTTCAAGTATTATATCATTTAATTCTCCTAACAATCCTACAAAATAAATAGTACTATTAGCCCAGAAATTCTAGAGTGGACACTAGGTATGCCTGGATTCAATCCAAGTATTACAGGAAACTAGAGGGGGATTTGAGCCCAGGAGTAGCTTAGTCAAATGCCAGGAAAGAACCATCATTTTATTTAGTAACAACTTTTAGGACTGGGTTTAAGAAAAAGGAAGAGAGATAAGATGGCTGAAATGGAACCTACTCTAGAGTTTGCCCTCCTACATACACACACACACATACACACAGAGTTCTTGGCTTGTGCCTCACAAGTGCTTGGTTATAATTTTTTTTTAAATTTTTTTAGGGAGAGAGAGAAACAATGTGAAAGAGAAACATTGATTGGTTGCCTCCCTGATGCATCTGGACCAGGGATCGTGTGCACCCTGATCAAGGATCAAACCCATGACCTAGGTACGTGGCCTTACCGAGAATCAAACCTGCAACCTTTCAGTTATGGGAGGATGCTTCAACCAAGTAAGCCATACTAGCAAAGGCACTTGGTTACAATTCTTGTGGAAGGTGCCATTTTTATGCTTTTTTTTTTTTTGCCCTGTTGTGTACTACTGCATCCTGTAGGTACACTCACATGTGCTATATCCAACTAAGGTCTGGAAGCAGTTGAACAACCATGTTACTTTGTGATACTGTCATGGGATGCACGTGCAGTCGGGGCTGTTGTTTTTCCCTCTGGTTCCTAAAGGCAACATAACATGGAGCGTGGCTCCAACCATGGACTGTTCCTGTGAGCACAAAGGGAGTTTTATGGGGCCAGCATGGCAGTGCCTGTTCTTTTGAGTTTCATAGAGTGCTGACCCTTAGGGACCCCTGTGCTAATAGAATATGGCAGTGTTTGTTTCTTTGTTTATTTATTGGTTTGTTTATTTGTTTTTACTGTAATAAAAGATTATTGCTTAAAAAAATAAAATAAAATAAACTAGAATACTGCTCTCTCCGTGCGAGGCACACTGCACTTCAAGGCTCCACCATGCCTGTGCCTCTCTGGGACCAGTGCCATCTGCACAGGCACCAGGCCATCCGTCCCCTTCCTGGGCACCACTGCCCCGGCTATGCTGGCTGCTACCCACAGCACAGCCACGCCAACACACACAGTGGTCTGTGGATAAGTGGGGGAGAACGCCTCTTTCGTTTACTCTCCACATCAGATGTTCCCAAAGCAATAAGGCTGGCTCTGTGAAACCTTAAGAGGTGTGGTGAAGATAGTCCTCTGGTTTTTATTCACAGCCCTCTCTCCTTTGCAGGACCCAGTACTGAGTCCATGAAGTCTGGGCCTCGGGAAAATGAGACTGACCCTGAGGAACTCACAGTAACTACTCTGCTCCAACAACTGAGGTTTATAACTGGGCTGGGCTAGTCCCACTTGACTCCCCCCCACCTTAGTCCCTCAGACAAGATCAGATGACTTGAATTCTCAAGTGGGGACACTTTTAGGCTAGACCTGGGACTCCATTTCACTTACACTCAAGACCTAGGGTAGAAATTAGAAGTGAAAGAAAAGCAGTGTGAGACCCTATAAGAGATGAAACAAGATTCGTTGAACTCTTGATGACAGACTTTTAGCACTAACATATTCTGAGTTTCTCTGGAAAAGTTTAAAAGTTTGTTCAGAACTTCAGAAGAGTTCTGTGAAGGAAAACAATGACAGTTTGAGAAGTACAACTTCAAAATCTAGTTCCTAAATTTCTATCATGTCCTCTCATTACAGGAATTAGTGAGACTGTACTCGCTATGCCACTTTAAAGCCTTGATTGAAATGCATTTGTGGAGGAACGCATCTGTGCAGAACACCAGGGCTCCTGGGGGAGGTGCAGACAGGGCGCGATGGAGTCTGATTCCTCACAGCGCTCACTTGCTAGTATGTGGGGAAACAACAACACAAATTAATACCCCGTGGGCTTTTCAAACTTTCTGAAGGAAGAGTTAGGAGTGATCGTTGCATACTCCTTTTTGTTTACCCATACTCTCTAGTTTTTTAGAAGTCATATATATTGGTTGGGTAGTAAAAAAATGAAGTAAATACCCTTTAATCAGAGTTGCCATCTGGTGCCCTGAAGGCTCAGTCCTCCCTCAGTCTTCACCCTTCTCCTTGATTACAGGATGCAAGTGCTCAAAGGGAACCAGAGGACCTCTGATTCGATTTCTTCTTTTGTTCCGTCTGCTTTATCACTGAGCAAATGGATCCACTCAACACCTCATGAAGCCTTCTCTGTGCATCGAAAACTCCAAGCTGTTATGCTAAATAATAATAACAATAGAAATAACAATAATGTGTCTGAGACTGTTACAAAATAAATAGGCTGGGTATTGAATGAGTGCTGACCCAAAATAACAGTGAAAGGCCTTAAACAAAACGTTCCTAAGTGTGCCTCTCTGCTATCCATTTTTCAATGTGATTCTAAATAAATAAATATTCTACTCCAAAACATCCCATTTTTGAACAAAAAAAAGTCTTTTCATGAGCTTTCTTCTAAAAGTATAATGGATTGGGTTAGTTTTTGGTGGTTTTTTTCTTTTCTCAACTCATATGAGAGCAATACTCTTATGTATATAATTCTTGTAAACTGAGTAGATAATCAAATTTTAGAGCCTGAATTCAATATCTCTTTATAAAAAATATATCTTTTTAATGTCTGACTTTCTATAATGTTTCTTTATGACTTGGCCATCATCTTCATCATCGTCATCACCCCTACAAACATCTAGATCGAACTTAAAGTATCTCTCTGCAAAGTTGTCCTACTGTCCCCATTTTATTGAGAAAACTGAGGCACATGGAGGCTAAAAGACTTGCCCAGGATCTCACAGCCAGTTCAGGCACAGAGCCAGTCTTTAGTCTCAAATCTGCTGCTCTACATTTTTCCTCTTTATTGTACCACACTGCTGTTCCATTTCCTCAGTTGCTGGATGTTAGTACTGGTAATGTTTGGCTTGACTTAGAAAATATTAAATAAAACTTTGAGTGTCTACCTTTATCACAACCCCAAGAGACCAACCCAGGAGTATAAACTGAGTCTGATGGAGCCCTCCTATCTCATTCCACATCTGTCTGCCCTTTTAAATCTAGTACCAAATCTTAAGGACATGCCTGGGAAACAGAAGAGAGAAGATTATTTTAGAATTTTCCCTGTATTACAATTGGTGAGAAGGCAGCTAATGTCTCCCTTAAACCAATAATTTTGTTTTAGATTTTACTTATTTATTTTTAGAGAAGGAGAAAGAGAGGGAGAGAAATACTGATGTGAGAGAGAAACATTGTTCAGTTGCCTTGTATGTGCCCCAACCAGGGACATAACCCACAATCCACACATGTGCCCTGATCGGGAATCGAACCAGCAAATTTTCGCTTTGCAAGACAAAGGCCCAATCAACGGAGCCACACAGGTCAGAGCTCAATCACTGATGTTTAACAAATTCTTCGAAAATATACAGTCTGAACAAAATGCTCTATGAGAAGGAAGCAGGCCTAAGCAATAGAAGGTGAGGCAGTGTCCAACGGAGCTAGATTGAAACTTTTTATTTGGGGGTTTCAAATCTGTGAGGCATCTTGCCTCAGACAGTTAAGCACCGAAGACTAGGGCATGTGTCTGCCGAAGTATGTCACATGAAATATTTAGGACATATTTCTAGTAAAAGTTACTCGTTGTTTACCTGGAACTGAACTGAATGGGGCACCCTGTATCTAATCTGGTGACCCCATCCTAGGCGCTAATCCGTACGGCAGCTATGGGCCAGGAGCAGAATGCCTGTTTGGGGATATTCCTGATGAGCAACCGCTAGAACTGAGCTGATATGAGCAAGCCTGAATTGAGTCCTTGGTGGTGCACACACATCTTTGTCACAGGTTTTATCATCCACTTGGGCCTTTTGTCTTTGATTGAAAGTCTCTATAAACTGTGCCTGAATACCGCGGCGTTAATCACAAGCCTCCTGAAGTATTTTCATATTGTGTGTAATAAATGCCCATATACTTAGGATTTAAAGTAAGAACTACTCACCACAATATTTAGTTGAAATTACAAAGGGAGTACAAATTAAGCCATCATTTTGTTAAGGTGTATATTATAAGTCTTATTTAATTTCCCCATGTTCTCATATGTGTGTTTTTATAATTGTTGTGTCAAAACTTTTACTGATAAAGTATTTCAATTAGCTGCTAAAAGAAATACATTTAAGGAGTAACAACTGATGTACATTTGGGCTAAATACCTATAATCAGAGTTGTTTCTCACCTGAGTCCCTCTTACTGATGTTATGTAACAAGTGGCCCTGATTGCTGGCAAGGGTTCACTTAACATGTTCACATTTGTGCAATAATCGCTTAGAAATAATGACTCACTAGCACTTCAAAAAAGAAACTGATACTAAGTTTAGCGTAGATAAGTTATGGGGTCACTTTACTCTATCTGGAAGTCTAGTTCCTAAATCAACAGGATTTTTCAGATGTTTTTCCACAGGACTGATTTGAAAGCAATTAAGGTGGTAGTGAGTCACCTGCCTTCATGCTCACCCGCCTCTGTGCTTCCGCCTGCTTGCCAATGCCTTCCTGGGTAAGCAGGGATTCTCACTTGGGTGTATCCAAGTATCACTTGGATAAAAATGACAAAGAAGAGCTGAAAAGGCAGGGGCAGTCGTAGTAACAGTGGTAGTAATGAGGAGATTCAATGCAGAAATGCACAGGGAGGTGGAATCACCCCTCATGAACCAGTGGCCTTTTCTGTCCCTGTGTGGCTTGGGTGGTGATTGTGTCACCCTTCCACAATCTGACACTGTCTTTTATAATCATCAAGTCATCAACAGTTTTTCTCCCAAGTTATTCATTCTCTACCTCTTTCTCTCATAAGCTCAGCTCATCGAAGTAACCAGAAAATTCTAAAGATCTAATTCTATCCCACTATCTTCTCCCAAACCACCTTAGTGTGTGTGTGTGAAATTTATGGAGCTGCATTCTTGTCAAAGAAAAGTAACATTTCTGTGTCAAGGCAACTAATCTTTTTTTTTAAATGTACTCTTCTCAGTTAAGCCCAGCACAAGATAGGGAATAAAGGTAAATGCACATCTAGATTAGAATCTGAACAGATTGAGAGAGAGAGAGAGAGAGAGTAACATGGTTCCAATGGACCTTCATCTCCATTCTCATGCCTGTGTGAATGGCTCTTGATTCTGCTCTGCAACCCCACTCTTGCCAGGAAGGCTTCTAGCAAGGAGCCTTGGTGAAAACTCAGACTGGCTCCTAAACTGACGGCAGCCGTGCTTCCCGGCGCTCCCTCACCGCCGTGCCAGGGTGGCCTCCTCCCTGGCCATGCTGCTGTCCTAGCACAGAAGCCTGGCAGAGAATAGTAGAATATTCTCTCTCTCCACTCTGTCATCCCAGCCGCCACTGAACTATGTTCAATCCAGTTTGAAGAGATGGAATGGCAGGCAGATATGTCGCACATAGAACAGACCTCAAAAACTATCAGTGAAAGATATATTGGGAGTACTTTTTTTTTTTGCTGTGTCAATAATGTGGCAATATCACTCAAAAATTGTAGTTGTGTTTTTATATGTTGATTTCACTTTAGGCAATTAATTCTAAAAATACACTTACAAAAGTACACAAAAATATTCATATGTTTACCAAAATATTATTTGAAAAAGGAAAAAGACTAAAAATATAGCCTAAATGTCCATCAACATGGGAATGATTATATTCATCATAGCATATTATTTGATATTTTCTGTGCAGCTTCTAGAAGAATGAAGTAGCCCATGTGTAAGGCATGGAACAATAGCCAAAATACATTGCTAAGTGAATAAAAGCAAGTTCAGAGTAGTAAATATATTGTGTGATTTCATTTGTGATTTAAAAGAACATACGCTTGCATATGAAGTTTTTAAATGTCTGGTAAAATATATGAGAAAGTATTATTGATGGTTACCAATGGGGAATGAGATTGAGGGAGGGGGGGAAGAAACTTTTTTTAAACTTTATATCCTTTTTGTATTGTTTTCATAATTAAAACATTCACTTGCAGCCAGTCTATCATTCCTTAGGTTCTGATGATGTATAGATTACATAGGGTTTAATGATCTTTTTTACCATAAAGCCTTCACTTTAAAAAATCCCCCCAAAAGAGTTCTTTATGACTGAGGCAATAGCTATGGATGACATTAATTGCAGTTCACAGAACTAATATCAGCTTTGTGGACATAAGCTCAAAATTCAACTCATACAGAAAACTGAGTATAATTTCTTGTGATTACAAAAGTCATTGTGTTGAGCCTTCAGACTGTTGATGAGATTGTCAATGATTTTAATATCATTCTTGACCACCTACAAACTCCCCCTTGACACTTGCCTGTGCTTATCTTTTCAGGAATGCATTTTAGTTTGTATCTGGTGCTTCCAGCAAGATTTCCCATGCACCAGACTCAATATCATGAAAAACTTTGTATCATTATTTTACAAGTCCCGGGTGAGGTGAAGAAGAAAAGAGGCTTCATATTATGCAAGTGTGCTGTTGCTAAAAAAGAGACTGTTCATGAAGGACTTACACAAAGTGGTAGATTCTGATAGGAAATTTTCAAATACTGATAACTGGAGCTATTTAATCAGTCTCTGTGCCTGATCCTGAAGAAAGAGTACCTGAGACAAGAAACGAAAAGATGAGAAAATGCCAAGGCAACAAAAAAGCAGTTGGTTGATACATTTCACAAAAAATTCAAACATAGGTTCTCTTGAAACAAGGCGTTAATCATGAAGCTTGAACATAGCAAACTTAATTTAAGGTATCAATTTCCAAGATACCTACCTATTTCAAGACTTCCGGTTACTAGGATGATGATGTCTTTAGTTACTAATCTAACAATGTTTTCCAGTATCAAAAAGTTTTTAGCAATTTGCGTTTTTGTCTGCAATGCAGGAAAACAAGTTGAAGGTACACAATGTTAATTTAAATATCTTGCATAATTTTTTGTCTTTTTGTAAGAGGTTTTTGTGTCTGCAAATACAGAGAAATCTACATTTCCTTGGTAGTAAGATGGTAGGTTTATACTAGAAGTTTTAGACAGACATACCAAGCAAGTAGATAATTAATCTTACTATGATTATAACCAGGTATAGTTTATGGAAGTAATCCAAGCCTGACATTCATAAACAATCTTAAGAGATCTTCAAACTAAAGCATACTTCTTAGGTTAGCCCCCAAGCCTTTAAGAACTTCCACTTGCAACTAAATACACAATAACCACTGAAA